CTGTGAATATCCCTTTTTTTTGCCCTGTTAGGAAAATAAAATTAGTATCTTCCAGTGCTTAGCTTAGAAGAATGAAAGCAAATGTGATGCACATTTTGTATACAAGGGCTACTTGTGACTTGCTGTTTCATCAAGTGCTCTGTATAGTTTATTTAAAAGTTCCTTTGTATTTAGCTTTGTATTTTTTCCATATGCTAGCATTTTGAGGGAGGTGAGTTTGAACCAGACCCCATGGAAGACAGCAGTCGTAAACTTGAATTTCTTAGATGGGTTTACCATTCCCTTCCCAACCATTTTGCATATTCTTTTTTTCTGTTCTTTATTTCTGGTATTTTGAAGCATTATCTTTTTTTTTTTTTTTTTCCCTTTTTTAAAATCTTTCTGAAAACAGCATCCTTTTCCCAAATGTACTTTTTGCATTTTATGGTTTTACTGTGGTTGGTGATAAAAGGTTTTCAACCAGATGGAGGAGGTCTTGTGATGTTGGTATTACAATCATTCCCCAGCTTTTAGCACAGCTGAAGTGTCCTGGTAGCCTGACGAGTTGTAGACCTGAAATGCATGAAAAGGTGTCATGGCAGTCAGGTTGTTGTATGGCACAGCAGGCAAATAGTGTTCTTGTCCCTCTCTCTCCTCTCTTCTTAGACTACTGCTCCACCAGCAATTGGCACTACTATATATAACACTGTTTTCACACCTTACCCTCAAAACGAAAGAAAAATCCTATTAAAGAAAAGTATGTAGTAAATTAAGGAAAGTGAAGAAATAATTCTTCACTAGCAGTATCAGAAACCTTTCATAATTTCAGAAAGAAATAAATGTATTCAGAAGGAATATATTATTTTTTCCAAGATACAAAAATAAAATGCAGCAGTTTTGAGAATGGTCTGTTAGTGCTTTTGATTGATGAGACCTTAGTTATTAGCTTTAATTGCTAATACCTGTGCTGATGTTAAACTATTGCCTTGTCACTGGATTAGAACTAGCTCAGTCACTGTAATTGCCTTCATTCAATAACTTATCAACATGGCCAGTCATACATACTATGTTACAATTGTAGGTGCTACAAAATGATGTTTTAGCTCATCAGTCTACAGTGGAAGCAGTTAAGAAAGCAGGAAATGACCTGATTGAATCAAGTGCTGTTGAAGAAGCAAGTAATTTACGGAGCAAGTTGGAACTTCTGAATCAGCGTTGGCAAAACGTGTTGGAAAAAACAGAACAAAGGAAACAGCAGCTGGACAGTGCCTTGATCCAGGTGAACAGGAAATGATCAAATAAAGAGATAACTCAGAAAAAGTGTCTTTTTACATGAAATACATAGATGCATGTATTAGAAGTTGGCCTAAATCAAAACCATAACGCAGACACTCCTAAATTTGGAGAAAGTTTGAATCCAGCTGTATCTTCCACAGCTGGCCACTGTCTTTTATAGTGCTGAATCAAGACTTCAGCTTTTGGCCTACATATTTTAAAAGGGTGAAATTTCTATATAGGTATATTATTTAGGGAAAACATTGATCTCACAGTTGCTCATTTATTCTCCTTTCAAGATTTCCATGGGTTTTGTTTTTGTTTTTATCATTCAGATTGGATTGAGCTAGTTTAAATTTTGGGTTGGTTTGTTTTTTTTCTTTGTTTTTTTTTTCCTTTCGTTTCCTTTGATTATTATAAATACCTGATTAAATCTGTTGCCAGTATACTTCTGCATCTGAGCTTGTATTAGAACGGAGAACATTTAAGTAAGCTCTAAAATGATGTGGTATAATTTAGGCCCAAGGTTTCCATGGTGAAGTTGAAGATATGCAGCAATGGCTGACAGACACTGAACGTCAGCTGTTGGCATCAAAACCTGTTGGAGGCTTACCAGAAACAGCAAGAGAGCAGCTTAATACCCATATGGTAAGTATCAGTATTAGAATGCTTTGCAAATTGCATTTCAGGACTAACGATCTTTCAAGAGTGTTTATGGTAAATACAGAGCATGTTCTATATATCACAATGTCTGTACAGTATCTTAAAAAATTTTAATAGCCTTCAAAACAACACTGTTATTTTCAATGTAAGAAAAGTAGTCACTTGGGAGATGCCCAAAGTTGAACCATTAATAGTGTTGAGACAGAAATAAAAGAACTTTTGCATCCTTATTCTGAGAAAGAAAAACAGAAAGTGTTTGCAGATTTTTCAGTGATTCCTCTTCTTCTTTTGCCTTCTGTCCCCATAACTGTATTTATGCTTTTTCTAAAATATGAAGATGAATCTAAAAGTGATCCACATTCATTGGACCTTGAATTAAGAAACTCGATCGTTTATTCTTTATGTAACCAAAGCTGACATTAAAGTCATCATTAGCACAGATAATAAGGACTACTGGCTCATATAGAGACTCTGCTTTAATTAGAAATGGCAAACTGATCAGGATGCCTGAATTATTCCCTTCCTTCCGTTCCTTTCTCTTTAAGAAACATTATATGAATTTCTCCACCCGCATAGAACCATAGAGCTTAAAAAAAGACACTTAAAATTTATCTCTTACCTCAAAGGAAAGTGTTTCATAGTGCTTCATTTATGTAAAATCATGCTGTGCTGTTAGGCCAGGATATAAGCCCAAACCCAGTGATCTAAACTCCTGACCTCCTGGCTCAGATGTAAGAGTGATATTTACTGAACTGTCCTTGAACTCGAAGATGCCTGACACAGTTTCCATTAGAACACTGCATTGTTGTAGCTTTAAAAATCAGATTTTATTTTGGAATGATGCTAAAGGTCATTGCCCATTAATGTGGGGCACTTTTTTTCCTTCTTTTTTCCCTTCCAAAATTTACCAGTAACTATTTTTGAGAAGGAAAATAATTTACAGTTTTAAAATCAGTTATGACAGGAAACTAGGACAAAACACAGAAATAACCTTGCGGTTTTGAACCCCCCCAATCCTTTTCTTTTTGTCTTAAAGAAAAAAAAAAAGGCAAAAAACCTCCCCCCCTCCCCCCGTGAGGGTGGGGCATAATGACCATCTAAGAGGGTCAGTGGAGCTCTTTCTTTTTTTCATCCTGGACTTAAAGCCGGGTCAAGACCAAAAAATGTCCCCTGGAAAATTTCAGGGTTTTCTTTGGTACATTCTTTTACTATGCAAATTCTCTATACTTACTACACTTACAGATTGATTAGTTAAAGAATCTTTAAAGTGAATGTAGTATTATAGTTGGAACAAATGTGAATGTGTCACCAGTAATATGTACTGTATATGTACAATCATTTTCTAACTGTATGTGTGCATTTTAACAGATTGTTACTATGTTGTAGGCCATGGTATAACTGCAGCCATTGACTTGTTATCCTTTAATGTATATAACCCTTAAAAAACAGGGCTTGATTTCAGTTTAATTAAACCTCAGTGCATCTGTGCAGCTATGTGTAAATTCTCTCTTCCCCCCCCCTCCTCCCCCCCCAACTGAAATGCTGAGGCCACTTGTCATGTTGAGTACTATTTATCATAAGTTCCAAATTCAAACCTGCCCCTAAGTGATACAAACCATGTTAATTTGTGACATGTAATGGAAGAAGAAAGTTTTGCACTATATTGTGATTTGTTTCTCATTGGAAATAATATTATGAACCATCTTCTTGAGTATAAGGTCTGTTTCTACAGATATGAATAAAAGAGCCCTCAATCATAATCAGCTCACAAATGGAGTTGAGATTGGGCAGCATTTCCAGCTAAGGCAGCTCCAGGAAAACAAAAGATATGAAGAGACATTACAGGACACCAGCATGAAAGGGGCTTAAAAAGAGGCCTCTTTGGCTGTCCCAGTGCTGCTCAGAACATCCCTCATCCCTCTTCTTTTCTTAAAACAACTGTTTTTCTCAGTTCCTCCTTTAAAATAACTTTAATTGCTCCTGCCCTCTTGAGTGTGACTGTACTGCAGAATTAACCACTGTGATGAGCCCCTGTCTTAGACTGAGCCCAGCCCCAGTCTTTGGGGCCACCTCTGCTGTGCCATGTCTCACCTGTGCTGTGCTCCCTATGTTTACTTCTGAGGGGTTCTTGTGCTGCAGTAAAATAAGATGCTCTGGGGAGTTATGGAAACCAGAAATATTGTAGGGAGGATGGGAGCATAGGAGGAAGCAGGCTAGGTGACACCACTTTTCATAGTCCTCAGAAAGAAAGCAAGGAAGCTTTTTGTCCTGTTAAAATCTTAGCTTATGGTTGAACCTGCTTCCTGCTTTGCCCTCCTCTGTGTTCAGGTACAACCTGTGTACAGTATCTCTTAACCCAAAGAAAATGTTGGCTTTGGGCTCTTGTCCTGGGAATCAGAGGAAAAAGTTATTTTCCTCCTATTTGCAAGCAGTTTACTGTTCATCTCCTGGAAGATGTTCCTTATTTGGGAGTCTGCAGCAACTTTGTTGGTACATTTTGGATGGTCTGTTGCAAATATTGAACATGCCCTTTTGAGTCAGAGAGATGCATGGGAGCTCCCAGTCTCTTGCCACCTCATCTTTAACATGGTTAAAAAAATAGTTACTAGAATAGTTAGCAGGTAAAACAGTTGTTACCATTGTTCTTCCAGCTTGCTTTGTATGTGTAAAATGTCTTCAGTGTTCATGCCTAGCCAGTGAAGGAAGATACAGACAAAACAAAAGAGACTATGTACAATAAAGCAGCCCTCCCAAGTTGTCCCACCCGCTTTTGAAGGTGTATTGGATAGGTCTGGGCTTTCAGCGCACTGTGTAATGCTGACACTTTTTGTGTTTCAGCTATAGATGGACTTTAAACCAACCAAGTTGTAGCAAATCTTGTGCAGTAAGTGCATAGTACTTTCTTTGCCAAGCTTTGGATCTCAGAGAAAACATCTGACAGACAATACAAGTTCTCATTTCCTGAAGAATCGGGCCCTTTCTTTGCTCATTTGGCTTTTTTATTAATTACATTTGTTTTCTTTATTAGTCTTAATCATACCCACTAAATGTTCGGGGAGGAATAAATATTACACTAGCATTTGTAAAGAGTATTGAATTTCTACCTGGCTTATTTTTTGGTGCTTTCTTTATTTAGGAACTTTGTGCTGCCTTTGAAGCCAAAGAAGAGACATATAAGTGTCTAATGCAGAAAGGCCAGCAGATGCTTGCAAGATGCCCGGAATCTGCTGAAACAAATGTCGAGCAGGACATAAATAACTTAAAAGAAAAATGGGAATCAGTACAAACAAAGCTCAGTGAAAGAAAAGTATGTGTTTTTACATAAAAATAGAAGTGTAAATCATGTATTTAAGGATGTTAATGTTCAGTGCTTTTATGCATGCATACTTGCTTGATCTTTTAGATTTACAATCAATTGTAGAGACAGTTATGCAGAATTCATTGGTATGTTTACAAAGTACTGGGAAAAATGGGATTCAAGAAGTTGATTATCCATAATTCGGGGGAGGATGGGTGAGAATGGCACAAGTCTGTTCCGTAGAAATACGTTAACTGATACTGATAATGCTCATTTGGTAGGATGAGGGCTTTTCCGGTTTTTATTACAGTAATTGTAGACATGAGAGAGTGAATAAAATTATTCGATCATTCCAGTTTATCTCTTTCTCAGTACAGAATTGCTGCATTAATTTTCCTAGCTTTTTTGCATTATTTTTCTTAAAATTCCCAAACTCTTGGCCTTCTGCCACTTACTTCAAGTGACTACCTTCTGTCCTAATGTAGATCAATGATTTCACTGATATGCAACATACGTTTTCTTATTATTAATTTTATTTTACTTTCATTCCTTCACAGAATATAGTCCATTTGTTCTACCTCAATCAAACAATGAAAAATATCAATAATTACAAACAGAGGAACTCTCTGTATGACCCTGATATGTATAAAGCATAAATATTTAACTCACAACTTAGTTATATTTTAAAGTAAGAATGCTGGTGTCTATTAAGGTAACTGTATAATATAAGAATGTCAAAATAATTGATAGCCAACATGAGCACCTTCTTGCAGGAAGCTGTAAGGTTGGAGTGCTCAGCTAGGCCAGCAGTGCGATTGTTTTAAAATCTCTGACTGCTATCTCATGATAAACAAAAATTCTGTATTCAAATTTAGTCTTGGTTCGGGCAACCAAAATGACAATTGGGCTTTATTAAAAAGAAGTGGTCTAGGCAAACTTGTTCTTTGTTTAGTGCAAGAGAATAAATTAGATGACCTCTTTGATGCTCTTCCAAATGCACTGCCACCTTGGATTTCTGAGATTCTACTGGTTTTGTATTGAAATTGATCAATCCATATGTCCCATTAGGATTAAGTAGTAGAAGATGTAATCTTCTAATGTGGAAAATTGTATCTTGATACTAGGTGCTGTATTTTCTACTCATCTATCATACATAATTTTACTGTTACTCTTCTATCCATCTCCTTTAATATGCTCAAATGTAGGCTGTTATTTTAAAACTCAGAAACTTTGAGTTGGAAAAATCTTTTTAAATGCTGAACTAAAATGGTTTACTCCAAAATGCTGAACTGAAATGGTTTACTTGGCTGAAGCCCCTGCACAATATCAACTGCTATTAAAGTATGACGTATCTTTACAGACCAAACTGGAAGAAGCCCTCAATTTAGCAATGGAGTTCCACAACTCACTTCAAGATTTCATCAATTGGCTTACTCAGGCTGAGCAAACTCTAACTGCAGCTTCTCGGCCAAGTCTTATCTTGGACACGGTCTTGTTTCAAATTGATGAACACAAGGTATGTAAAGAAACAGATGTGTAATGTTTTTCTCCCACTCTGTGAAGATACTTTAACAATGTCCAAATGAACCCTGTAACGCTGGCACTCGGAGAAACATTTAATTTGTTTTAAAATTATATTTTATTGTCTTTCTCGCTACATAATTTTTTATCAGACTGGTTTTTTTCAGTGTTTACCCAGTGCTTGAGCAACACAGTACTCAGTAATTTTCTCCCTTCTTTCCAAGGTTTTTGCCACAGAAGTGAATTCTCATCGAGATCAGATCATAGAGCTGGACAAAACTGGAACCCATTTGAAATACTTCAGCCAGAAACAGGATGTTGTCCTTATTAAGAATCTGCTGATTAGTGTACAGAGTCGATGGGAAAAAGTAGTTCAACGCTTAGTTGAAAGGGGAAGAGCTTTGGATGATGCAAGGAAAAGAGCCAAACAGGTAATCGGACAACAGCTGTTGTACAACTCTTTGAACTTAGCTGTAATTACATCCAGACTCTTGAAGAATATGGTGCTTTAAAGCACTTTCAAGTAAGTCTGGGTTTAGTGTAACAGACACTGTTGAGTTAGTGGAGCAATTGCTGTGATTCAATCATAGAGCACTTCATTTGGGAGGTGAAAGCGTCATTTTCAACCCAAGCAGTGACTTCTGTCTGCAATACAGGATAGTCTGAAAGAAGAAAGTTACAGTATGGCTTCCAGATGTGTATTAGTGCCATCTGTCCTCAAAAAGAAGTTTCACAATCAACCTCTTGTATTTTAAAGAATGTGATGAACCCCTTTCACTAATTGGTGGGAGTATTCCTTAGTATTTTCTTCTTGGGTTTACGTTGTGCCCTGATTAATACTCATCACTTCCTCAATCCCTTATGTTAGTTACTAGACCAATATCTTCTGTGTGGTGAGATATCTGCATTTGTTTCCTTAAAAACCTGGAGAGTTTTTTTTTTACACAGTTTTCTTCACCAGGGAACGTTCATGTTTTTTTCCTTAGATTCATGTTCCCCTCACTGAGGAACATAGGTGATAAGATGCAAAATGGGTGAGAGGAATGTAATCTGTTTAAACATCAATAGGAATTTCTAGCTTCTTTTTGTTCAAGTGAACATGACCATTCAAGATTTGGTCATGTTCACAGCCAAACCACGTTCCCATGTTTACTGCTACTGCCACTCAGCTCATAGAGTAAGAACTTCTCTGAGCAATAAATTAGCGCATAAGCCAATCAAATGTAATTTATTTTCCAGCATTCACACACACAGCAGTTCTGCAATGAGATGGATTTCATCTCTATATCCATTTACAGAGCTGAATACAATAAGTTATTACTTTAGGATAACAACTATCTATGCAGAGCAGGGAAGGAGTACTGAAGGGTACTGGTGTCAAGACCTGATCCACAGCCCTGAACAACAGGGTCCAGGAACCTTGAGAGGTTTCTGAACTAGTTCCTTGTGCTTTCATGTGTAGGCAGCCCAGACAAGAAGAATTTTCAAGAGATGCAGAGAGAGAAACGACCAGCATAGAAAAATCGAATCCCAAAGGGATGCTGCTTTGTGAAAGCTGGTTGAATCTTTGGTCTTTCCCTGCTTCCTTCCCTGAAGCACTCTTTTTGTTGGAACAGGAAGGAAGATCAAGGATCTGTTCCTTGCCTGTCAAGATAGCGTTTGATATAATGAGAGCATTTATGAGCGTCCCAAGGAAAATCTTGGGCAGTCATCCAGACGGGATTTTTCCCCAGTGATTTACTGCTGTTGTCCCATATAGGCAATAGCTAAGCCCCATTCTTGCTGTATTTACTATTCATTATTAAAAATGTAGGAATCTAAATGACCAACACATCGACAGAAGTTACCGATATGTCTTTGAAAGATGCGTACTATGTGTGCAGATCAGGTACATAAAAGACAGCTAATTCACCTGGGAGAAGGGAGGCTAAGTCCAGTGGGCACATGGTTGAGCTAGTCCCTGTTTGAGAGACCAGGGAGAAAAAGCACACCAAATCTTTCTGAAGTCTGCAGAGTACTTGTTTGACCTGTAGAGAATTGGTTGGGGTTTAATGTTTTCGGACTATTTTATAAACCAGTGAATTTTAAAATCCATGCAAATCTCACTTTCCTGCAGTTCCATGAAGCCTGGCACAAACTTATGGAATGGCTAGAAGAGTCAGAAAAATCTTTGGACTCAGACCTTGAAATTGCAAATGACCCTGACAAAATAAAGATGCAGCTTGCACAGCATAAGGTGAGTCATAGGTAATGAAGTGCAAAGTGCCCAGTGAGATGTAGGTAAGTCTATCAGCCTCGTACTGAGGCTGCAAAGGAAGTAGATTTGTGGCCTCACTACAATGGAGTGCTTATTAGTATCAAATTAAATGGTGGTGTGTTACAGGTGGGGAGTGTAAAAAAAAAAACTTTTCACAGTACCTGATCTGGGGGGGAGTAGTTAACTATGAAGAGGAAAGACATAATAATACAGCGCCATGGAAACTTTAAGAAACAAACTAATACTATCTCAGAATAGGAATCTCTGAAGAGGTTTTATTACAGGCTTTTTTCAGTCCTTAAACCACAATTTTACCATCCAGTTATTTGCGTTGGGATTTTCCTTTTAATACTACAGAACCACTTCAAAACTGAAAAATAATCTTGTATTTTGATTGGCAGTTGCTTCTTATGTCAAGTGGAAATACTAGTTAAATCCTCTAGAAAGTACAGTGACACCATTAGTAGCAAAGGTTGTTTCTCTTCATGGGATTCAAAATTCCAGGACCAGCCTTCCACAAACCCAGCTACTTTAGGTGAAAATGTAAATATCTCTCTGATTGACCTGGCTTTTCAAACAAATAATGATAATGTAAAAGCTCTGTAGTTCCATCAGACACAGAGCAAAAGGATGGATGGAAGAAGTCTTTACTTCATTTTTACTTTTGTAAAGAGCCTAGAATAATGTGTTACTGAGGATCAAGTGGGTGAGTGGTAGAATCTTCAGAGACAGACTGTGTCTCAAGATTTATCTTGGAGCAGTTTCATCAGAGACAGTGTTGAAAGATCATTCATTTTTCTACATTTTGGCATACATTGACTTTTCATGTCAGTCTTACTGTTCTCCATTTACTCCTATTTTTTCATTCTGCACAATATCCCCAAGGGTTTGCATGTCTAATTTTTCCCCTCTCAATGTAGCTTCTGATGATTGCTTTTACCTCCGACAAGTTTTGCCATGTATATTAATGATCAGTTACTGCATCAGTCTGCTTTGTATTTTAATGATCTCTCAGTTTACATGATGATTTAAGTATTGTTTATCAACCAGGAAAATATTCTCCTTTAATATGGGAAAGTTGGCTGTTGGTCAAGCAAAAATAGTTTTACCTATGTTTGCTGTTAAAACTTTTAGATAAAACCTACATTAACATTCTGTTATGCTAACTCTGCAATTTCACTTTGTTCTGGGATTGCTGCAGTTGCCAGAATTTGAAGTCAGCGATGGGAATTTAGGGGGGAAAAAAATCTTTCTGTTAAGATAGTCTTTCTTGTCTTCTCTGACTCTATGAATCTTTCAAGCCTTCCACTCCTCTCTTTTCTTTATATAAAGTTCAAACTCCTCATGAGTACAGTCAACGTATTGTGACTTTGCTTTGAGGTCCTTTCAGGTCCCGAGGTTTGCCTCTCTACCTTTATTCTCCTCCCCTCTTCTGAAATGTTAAACTTGATAATCCCATTTGTTCTTTATACCTGCAGCAATTCATTTTATGAGCCCAAGCTTCCTCACATGGATTGGCAGATTCATTGCTTCTCTCAGTGATATCTTTTCTCCAGCTTCTTTTCGTATAAAATGCCTGCAGAGAATAGCTACTTGAGTTGCTTGAATCTCATTTCTCATTAAGGAATGGGATGGAATGTGGCACAGGGACATTAGGACTGAAACTGGTGATTTGGAGGAAAAAGATGAATGTGTATGAGAGAGGGAGTTCTGTGAACTTTGTGACTTTAAACTTCAAACAACCCCCCCAAGAAATCAACTCGATTGTTTTTTAATGAGCTGTCAAGCCTCCCAATACTGCAATGTCCTTCCTTGTATTTTGAGTCTTTTCCTTCCACTCCCACATGTACCCCCTGTGTCTGTCTTTGTCTTTTCTGTCCAGCCTTGAAGGTTTCCTTGCTCCATTTAGTTAATGATTTTGCTATCTGAACTGAATGTGTGCTCTGTGTGTGCTGTAAGCAATAATTTGGACTTGCTCTTTGCCAGTTGTTACTGCCAAAAAAAAAAAAAAAAAAAACCAAAAAAACAAAAAACGCCCTGAAAGAGAAAAGCCAAGATAATATGTTTTCTCTCTCGCTCATATCTAGTGTTTTGCCAGGGACTTTTGGGGGTTATTCATGGTCTGTTTATCAGCAATTTTTTCTCATTTTTAGAAGTCAGGAATGGAAAAACCCTTACTAGGTCACCCAGTCCATTCCTGTGCTAAAGCTGAATGTTCCTTACAGTACATTTATATGAACCTGGCTAATTTTATCTATATGTTCCCATCTTCCTTAGAAGGAAGGTAGATAGTTAATTATTGAGATTTCGTTCATCTTACCTGTCTGCTCCTGGCAGCTTAAATCAAAATCTACTCTCAGTTACACCCTGTGAAATCAAATGAAAGTAGATACGGTGTAGTGTGTGTAGTCTCTCAAAGAACGAATTGACTGCAACCCTTTGTTCACCTTTAAATCTGTTTTTCCTGTATGATCCTTCTCTGGCAGCAATTTCATTGTGTTTCCTTGTGCAAATCAAGTAATACTGTGCACGTAGTGTTAAGTAGTTAATAAACCCCATCAAATAAAAGGAGCACAAACATATTATTTGTATTGAAGGAACTTTTATAAAAAACTGGTTGTTTTCATTTTGAAAATTATTTTTATTTTTATTGTAGTTCTAGCTTGACAATGGTGTTTGTAATCCTTCTTAAAGTGTGTTTCCTTGTTGTTTTATATGAGGAAAATGAAAGTACAGTAAGGAAATACTGAATTACAAAACAAATGCTGCCTTTCTTTTTTTTTTTCCTGATAAATTTTGATCCTCAGTTCCCTCTGGATCCTGAAATAACCCTAAAGTAAGGACAGTATAGTGCAAAATACTGAGCAAGTTTTAAAAAAAGAACCTTGAATCACCCTAGGTAAAGTTGTCATACTGTCCACATGGCATAATCCAATATCTACCCCCTACTTAAGACACCTTCATTCCACTTGAGCTTTCCCTGACACACATTCACATCTAAAAAGAGCAGATGAGTATGTGGACACAAGGGAAAGTTGGTGGAAGAGTTGTGAACTGCCATGGCACAGGTTGGTGCAGGCCAGCTGGGAACAGCTTGCCAGTGGGAGGTGAGCAGGCACACACGTGCCAGCAGTGACCATGAGGAATCCTTGCAATCTTTACATGCCCTGAGGAATTACTGTAAATTGTAAGTGGTAATCATTTCCTTGCTGGATGTGATGATAGTGAACGTTGCTCTGAAAACCAGATGAAAATCTGTTTCAGCAAACACTAAGCAAAAGCTCTTTTGGCCTAGTATTTTTTGTGACAAAAAAAAAAAGAATATTTGATTCTGTATATATGAGTTTCCTAAAGCAAACTTGTGATTTTTATTTTTTTTTAAACTGATTTCCTGCTAGCAGTCCATGAAGGTGTGAAATAAAACACTTTAAACGTTGCTACGATTTAAAAGCTGCTGTGTAGCGCTGGTTCTGTCTTTTGGCAATATTTCTTTATTTAATTATTTACTCTGTCAGTCGGTTAACTCCTCTGCGGTATCAGATGAGCTGTGTTTCTGTGTGCTCCTTTGTGCCTGTGAAAAGCTTCCAGAGGCTCTGGGCAGAAGGAGCTGTCAGAGCAGGCAGGCAGATGCAACTGCTGTGACACTGTCATCTTCCCAAGTCCCTGGATCACAGAAACCTGCTTGTCATCATGGCTTCCAGCGCAAAATGAGTTACTGGGATGTCACCTGGCTGCTTTTTGTGCCTGGATCTGTATACTTTTGGCTTACAATTCTTCCCAGTTACAGGGTTAGGAGGGTTAAATGCTTGTGGCTGGAGGTTTCCCAGCTTGACCATGCTGAGCTAAAACAGAATGACCTTTATAGCCCTTGGTGTCCTCTACACTGGCTTGAAATCTTAGTAGGTAAAAATGTAGTGTGAAGACTGCTCGGTTCATGGCTCGCAAAGTAGCAGTTCTTTCACATTCTTTTGACTACCAGGCAGCCGCTTGCTGAAATTCAGAAATATTATGGTAGTACGGGAATCATTGCTCTCACTGGAGGAGGGATTTCCCCAAAATTGTTCCGGTAGGCGTAGAGCTACATTCCCAGAGAGGGACAAAAGGCAGGGACTCTGCTAGTGTCAAGCCCCATATAATTTCAGGTGCACTAGCAGACTAGAAATTTTGCAGTAAGTTTAAAATTTTCTTGCAGCAACATTTACAATTTCCATTGCAAATAATATATCAAAGATTAATTAACTGTGGCCTGTAAGCAGTTAATGCTATATGGGTGTTTTCTTTTTATTCCATATATGTAGGAATTCCAGAAATCTCTTGGTGCCAAACATTCTGTGTATGATACCACAAATAGGAGTGGACGTTCCTTGAAAGAGAAAACCACCTTGGCTGATGACAATTTGAAACTTGATGATATGCTGAGTGAACTAAGGGATAAGTGGGATACAATTTGTGGAAAATCAGTGGAAAGGTAAATGAGAACCAATCTAATTATTCAGCAGATAAGAAAAAGGCTTAGGAGAATTCTTTTGGCTTCTGTTGTGTAGAAGTAAAACCAGAGTGGCTAGCTTGTTTGATAATTAAGAGTGCCAAAGCAGTAAAATACTAGAAATGCATACTTTCCTGATGATATGGAAGAGGACTGGAGCGTGAGGGGGGATGGTCCCACTGCTTAAAAAGGGAAACACTGATTTAGAGCTCTTTGTTGTTATCGTTTTATGCTGAAAATGTTTTCTTAAAGTGTATGAATGATTATTTTGTGTGTGTGTGTGCGCGCTCATTTTTTTCTTCCCCCCCTCCCCCAGACAAAATAAACTGGAGGAAGCCCTGTTATTTTCAGGACAATTTACTGATGCTCTGCAAGCTCTCATTGACTGGTTATACAAAATTGAACCTCAGCTAGCGGAAGATCAGCCAGTACATGGAGACATTGATTTAGTGATGAACCTGATCGACAATCACAAGGTAATTCCAAAAATATTCTTTTTTAATTACTAGACTGTTTGTAAGTGTAGCATTTTAATGCTATTTTTATTTGGCTGTTCTGTAATTTTTAGAAACATGGAATAATTTTATAACACAAACATGTCATCAGCAATGGAAAATACTATAAAACATATGTGGAAGAAAACAACTGTTAGCAACTCCTTGACACCAGTTAGCATTGAGATACTCTGTTTAATGCTGCTATCCTGTGTATTTATGAATATTATGTCAAAAATCACAAGTGTGCATTTATGAATTTGTGTGTGTCGGCAAGAGGTGGCAAGAATTGTTTTACTGGAAATCTTTGGGGGAGACAGGGCTTTTTATTTAGTACATATGTTAACCAAATGTCCAGTGCACTCATCATGACTACAGCAGCCTTTCAAACCTGCAGGACTGCTGTATATTCATGGAGAAAAGTAGTTGCAATGCTTCGGTTATGCATGGGAGTATACAACTAGACTATGGCCCAGGAAGCCTACATTGGCAAGCTGCAGTATTTTGTTACTGAAGTGTTTTTGGAGATGGAAGCAAGTAGGAGATGTAGGACTGTGCCTCTGCATCCCAGTTTTGCAGATCAGTATGTCGGAAGAAACAGCTCTTGAAGTTACTGGTATTGCAAAGTCAGAGCTCTGGAGCTTGGGAGGATTATGAGGTGAAGGTCCCTCTGTTGATCTACCAGTGACTTCCAGTATCCAAAGCCTGTTCAGCAAGGAAGAGATTTTGTCGCTTGTGAAAAAAAGTATTTGGAAACATGGGTTGTCTATAAAAATTAGCCTGAAATATGCTGCAATTGCTTCTGAAGTCCCATTGTATATCACAACTAAGTCATAGTCAGTGGTATGGTGTACTGTAATTGTCATATCTTCTTTTAAGAGCTTCCTTTATGTAACTGGAGCTTGTTCCATCTGCAAATGTGAACATACTCTCACATAAATATATGAATATGTGGTGAGATCTACAGCATGATAGTCAGACCCCCAGATGGGGTTTTAGTTCCATTTTTATGATTTTAAACCTTCTCCTTGATTGTTAGCATTTTATCTGATGTTTTCCTGCTGCGACAATCTTGCGCATCAATCTGGTGTGTCAAATCAATTGCTTTGGTAAAGAGTGTAAAGCCAGCGTGGTAAGGAGGCTAGATTTCCCATGCATTGCATCAGGATGGGTTCTCAGGATCAGCCTGACATTTTCCTACCATATTCCAGTTTTATTAGGCTAGGGTAGGGAGTAGATATCTTCATATGGAATCTAATGAGCAGAACCCATGCATTTTGAGTCACTTTGATGGAGTTACTCTTGATTGAACTAAATCCATGTTTCGATTTCTTATAACCAGTAGTTTTTTCGTTTCTCTTTACATAATTATGCCTTAATGAATTAAACATATCAAATGTATTTGGTGGTGCCTAGGTTTTCCAGAAGGAGCTGGGAAAAAGAACAAGCAGTGTCCAGGCTCTGAAGCGCTCTGCCAGAGAGCTGATAGAAGGCAGTCGTGATGACTCTTCCTGGGTCAAAGTCCAAATGCAGGAGCTAAGCACTCGCTGGGAGATAGTTTGTGCCCTGTCAGTATCCAAGCAAACACGACTGGAACAGGCTCTTCGGCAGGTAGAGGACTACTAATTGTGCTACGTGTACTTTATGAGAAGCAGAGAAAATTTCTTACAGTCTAGTTGCCAACAATATAATTTCATTTTCGCTTCATGTCATTCAATTTCATTTAATTTCATTTGAAAATACTAATTTTCTTGCTCATGCATTGCTTACCTTGTCTCCATCCCTTTACCACAGCACATAAATAATGCCTCCTCGCATTTATTATTGCTGTTATTATTAGTCTATACCACAAATGCAAAGCAAATGTTTCAAAGACCTTACCATCTAAGGAAATCACTGAAGTTACAGTCAAGCGTGAAGGGTGATCAAGAACTATGCCCCCTTCACAGGAAGCTGGAGATTGCAATCGTATTTATGCCCGTCGTGCCTTATTGGAAAGAAATAAATTTGGGTACTGAAAACTTGTTTACGTTGGCACAATTACAGTGCACAGTGAAGTACATTGCAGAAAAAATGGAGTTGAGCTGAGTGCACTCAGGAGTTAGAACAGTGTATGTATGTCAGTATTGGCTGGTACAGATCCCCAAAAAATAGGTCCATCTGTATTGTTTCCAAACCTGAGATAATATGGATGTACAGCTCTGTGAAGATATACTAGTTTGGGTTGACGCTAGGATGGGGATCCTGCAATAGTAATATATCCACTATGTACAAAATTCCTGTCCTGCTTTTCCCAGCATATTGTGTTCGTCCAGCTCTCCGGTCTTGCAGCAGGCTCAATCCTGAGCCTACCTCAAACATTAGTTGTGTCTGAATATGGCTGTGCCCAAAGGTGGAACTTTCTTGTTTTCTCCAGACATAAAAGGGTCAGTCAGCAACGGGCTGTCAATTAATTTTGCTTAAGCGGTGATTTAGGCTATGCAGAAAATACAGTTCTCATCGCTCCAGCTGGTCCACGAAAGCACCTCCCATGTAATTTGTCAGCGTAAAGGCATGACATTCTCAACTGAGCTGCAAATACACTATAAATCAGATGGCTAAAAGCATGAACAGGCTTTTAGACTTCCTATATTTTTTGGGAAGCATGAGATATTTTTACAGTTATGAAAATGTAGTACTGTATATCATTGACTTTTTAATCGAAAGTTAATGTGCCAGTACAGCTGTGTGATTAATGACTCCAAATGTGGGCTCAATCTCTTTGTGTAAGCTGCAGTGTGTCTGTCAGATCACCTCATGAGTGACTGTGACTTCTTGTATTTTAATAGGCAGAAGAATTCCACTCTGTTGTCCATGTCCTTTTGGAGTGGCTGGCAGAGGCGGAGCAGGCTCTTCGTTTCCATGGGGTCCTTCCAGATGATGAAGAGGCCTTGCGTACACTGATAGACCAGCACAGGGTAAGCAAGAAAATTAAGAGAGTCCTCGGTTTAGACTGGACATTAGGAAAAACTTCTTTACTGAAAGAGTGGTCAGGCCTTGGAACAGGCTGCCCAGGGAAGTGGTGGAGTCACCGTCCCTGGAAGTATTTAAAAGACGTGTAGATGAGGCGCTTAGGGACATGGTTTAGTGGGCATGGTGGTGTTGGGTTAACGGTTGGACTTGATGATCTTAGAGGTCTTTTCCAACCTTAATGATTCTATGATTCTATGATTCTTCATTCTGATAGGTCTGTTAGAGGGTAAAGGAAAGGAGGCGAAGTCTATCCCATATAGTCATATCCAGCATCCAATGTTTGTTTTTGCAACTGTTTCTATAGAGAAGCTAGAAATTTAATGAAGTTGACAGTTTGGTGCCCATACTGGTGTTGGGTTGTTGTTTGAGTCATCTTGGCTTACTAAGAAAGTAATGGGCCTTTAGAAAGTTGCTGTACACATTTAGAGACAGATGCAAACCCCTCTGGAATATATGCTGCCTGACAATTATAACACAGGCTGCTACAGTAGCAAAAGTATATCTGTCATCTTAGCACTATTGAGCAAAACAGCATATACTTTTCTTTCAAGGTCATTTGTAAACGTCAGCAGAATGACGTTATCATCCATTAACCTTCTGTCATGGTGAAACAGCATGCTGTCATACTTCACATGCATTAGGTACTGAAATATTGCAGTACCATAGGTACTGCAGATACTAGATTGTAGACCATCAAACTAACTTTGCAGTAATGAAATGGGAAAATGGCTAAGTAAGGAGCATAGAGGTCATATTTTCACTCTCCAAACAAGAGGCTACAAACATGCATATTTAAGCCCATGCATAACTCTTCTTGTAAGTGCAGTAGTAATAGTACCAAGAATGTAGTGCCCACAGTGTCATAAAACAAATTGTACGAGTAATGGATTTGTTCGTCATTGCTCTGAAGAAAGTTGTAACAAAACTTATGAAATGGAGAGTGGAAAAGCATCCTGTTTAAATTGAGTTTGGAAATATTATTACGCAGAGGAGTGCATGCAGGGTATGACTGTCTAAAGGTTCTTAACTAAGGAGTTTTCAGGGTACTCAGACTGCAATGTTTTGAAGAAGTTTTCAGATTTAATTTAAGGCCCTGGAAACTGGGTGCTATTCTTTAGCTGTCAAATGTATGTATGCATCAGTGTATGCTGACTAATGTTGGCAGTAGCAACCTGTTGTCTCTGATGCAATGAAATTTGTCTTTTAGCTGCCTTTCCTACATATGTGCTTCATCAGTTCCCTTTTATTTAATTTTTTGACCTTCTGAATACAGAGGAAAGAACTGTCTGAATGAAATCTTAGGTCCACTGAAATCATTAGAAAAAAACATTTTAAATTTCTCCCTCAGCAATGTAGGTGGATTAACAAAATATTTCTGTACAAAAGCTCAAAATTGTGCTGCTGAAGCCGAAGCATAACTTGGAACCTCAAACCAAAGCAAAGTTTGTCTCTGAGAAACCCTGTCCAGCTGGGGAGAATAATCACTAGCACAACGCAACCAACCTCAGTGTTAGATGTGGCCATACTGTACTTAAATTTTTTTAATAGACTTTAGAAGATGTTCTCCCAACCACATTTTCTTCTTAAAGGCAAAATAATAGAAATACAGAAATTGTCAAGCTAAGAAAGAACTACTCAATAAGCACATACAGCAAAATCTTCCTTGAATGAGTTGTCTCTCCTCTTAAACTTACAACATTAGCTTTCAAGAAGTAAAAAAAGAAAATAAGGGAAAATGTAATATGTAATATTAAACACCACGTCCATATTTTAATGCTGCAGTATTAATATCAAAAAATGTATGACTATGACATTATTTACATAAATATGGAATGTATCTTCTTTTTATTATCATGATTCTTGTAAAATAGTTTTAATGCATTTTTATCTAGCTACATGTTGAAAGGTTTCATCCAAATGGTCCATCTTTATGCCCGTTACTGATTTTCTGTTCTTGAATCTGCACATGATTTAATGAATTCTACTATCTCTGGCAGAGAGGTTTCTGTCACTCACCATCCTCTCTAGGGACTGAGAGGTGTAGTAGGTTAATGCACTGCACTAGTTAATGAGAAGCATCCCATTTCCTCTCTTGTAAATGTGTCTGTATCACTGGACTGCCACAGAGTTCAATACAATTAGTATTACGGAGGGAAAGCTTAATATTTAGTGTGTCATAGATTTAGATTTTGAGATACTCTAGTACAGTTGTGCAGGGAAAACAATGTTGTTGTTGCTGCCTGTTTTCCGCCTGGCCCTGACTTTGGTCATCTTTCACTGCAACCCACCTCGACTTTTCCAAAACCAGTTGGAACTGAAATATTGTAAGAACTCATGCGTTTTTATGAGAGAAGGACTGCTATTGTGATTGGGTCTTAAACTCTGACATTAATTTAAGCTTAAGTCAAAATCAGTTATTAATTAATCTCTTTAAATACACAGCAAATATACAGCCTACCTATTCCGGGCTTTTAGAACAAGGTAGAAGAGATTATTTCTTTTACACTTTTATTTCATAATAGGTTCGTATTTACTTTATAAAGGCACAGGATAATGTCATTATCATAGAATCATAGAATCATAGAA